AGAAGAAAAAATTGTGCAGCCTTCCCTTTCCTAAACCAATTTGAGGGCCCCTACCCTCAAAAACTGGCAGAATGTCTCCCCCCAATTTCCCCTGCATCTGAAATAATTGTGGGAAGGCACTTTGCAACAGCCCAATGTCCTACACATTTAATCAGTTGATGGGACAAGTTTGAATTAGGTTAGGTTGAGCTAAGAAAAAAGAGGTACGGGAATGAACGTGAAGATCAAGCCCTACAGGTTGCAAAGCTACATTAGCAATGTAGCTAAGTAGTTGTGCAATCATGCCTTAGGGTGTTTGTGGCGTTTGCCCTCCTAGGTGTGTGACATCATACTGGGTCATAAGGAAAGGGTTAACTAAGTGTAAAATGATTAACCAATAGGAACCCAAGGGGAGGAGTTAGAGTTAGAGTTAGAGTTAGAGTTAGAGTTAGAGTTAGAGTTAGAGTTAGAATTATAGTTGTTAAGAAGTCAGTCTGGAGTTAGAGAAGAGAGAGGGAGGATAAGTCTGTGGGGGTTGGGCTAGTTTGATGTGAGAGAGTGAGAGAATCTGTTAAGAGGAGTCAGTTAAACAGTTGGGATAATCAGTTAGAAGGTATTAGGAAGGTATAGGCCGGTAAATAAACTAAGGTTAAGAAACTGACAAGAAAAATTATCTGAAACCATAAACTTGTTAATGCTTATAAAATAAACTTTTTATTTGGCTTAATGTTAACAACTGTCTGGACTCCGTGTGTACCCGAGAGAAACGGGTTGGTGGCAGCGGGGAAGCGATCACAGTGGTGGCACAGGGATCAATAGACCATCAAATGTCCGGGGATCCTATGTGATCGCCACAGTGTTGTTTGGGCCTTCTGATCCCTTTTGCTTATCTTTTCCAGTGTACTCTCGCAGCAAATGTGCATGTGAGAAATCATGCTCATTTTAGAAAAAAATATGACATGAATTTTAAGCAGGTGCACTGAACATTCGAGGCATGTTTTCGGGCTTTCAAAATGGTTAAAATGAATTTCAAACCTGGGGAAATGTATGGCAATTCTAAACGAAGCACCATCTCCTTTCCCTCCCACCTGAAATCTCCGTTCTCTCTATATACACAGTGGAGTGCTCTATAAATGTAATTGCTTGTATAGCCTCCAATGTGACAGTAATGTAGGTGTTAATGATAGTTAAGTTTTACCAAGTTCATTTTTCATTAAGGTTTGTATACTTTATGTTCTAAATTCTTAAGCTACGGTTCGGTACAAGCAAGGCAGTTAATCTGGATACTTAAACTTACAGTTTAATAGAGCCGGCTCTTGAAAATGTCAAGTTCTAACCAAAAACACTGACATTTTGTGAATAGTGTGTGTCTTAATAAATTTGTATAAGTGTCCTGAAGGATTGGTTCTGTGTGGAGCTCCCTGTATCTTGAAGTAGCCCTTCTTCTTTTTTTTTAAGGTCAACAACACTGAGAAACCACTATAGGACTTCCGGGGTGGCGCCATCGGCAATGGCGGATTCCCTCTGAACTGGAGGGACCAGCTCCATGGGAATCGGGTCTTTTCCGCTACAGCGAAGCGGGGACCCATTCAAAATCACAGGCAGATGAAGCCTGTGACCATGGGACTCGGCGGGCACCTTTAGCGCCCCCCCAACCCGCAAAGGAAGCCACTAACGGGCTCCGGAGCGAAGAGGGGGAAGTGGCGCGGTGCTGAGAGTCAACTGCTTCTTCCGTGGAGCGAAGCCGCACAGCCGTTGCCGGAGAGCGCTGCCTTTTTCCTGGGACAATTTGGCTTTTAAAACAACCACCCGTGAGTACTTAAGTTTCGGACAATTGGACTCTAAATAAGGATTTGCAAGCAGAAAGGAAAACTGGACTTAAAAGTTTAATTTAATTTGGCACTGAAACGGGAAGGTCTAAACAGGAAGTCAGCCTTCCGTTTCTTTGTAGATAGATTAAAGCAAAAACACAGCAAACTAAAGTTCTGAAAATCGCTTCTAAAGGATTAACTTTCATCATTTAAAATTGTGGAACCCCCTTCGGAAGCAGGAGAAGAGGGGGGATTTTTTCTAGACTGTTTAAACCTGCAGAAGTGAGTGTAAATTAAAGTAACTTTCCACCATCTTGATCCTGGAGCGGGGTGTCAGGACTGACGTTCTTTGAAGCTTGTTGACCAGAGACAACCGTTTTTGACAGATAGCTAAAGGAAGAGATACATAGTGATTCCATCGTTCCCCTTCGCATTTTAAAGGAACAAATATTGACAAAATATCTGAAAAAGGAAACTTTGTTGTTAGATTTGTTTTTAAAAGAAAAGAACAAGCAGAAGTTGGAGTATAGCATCTAGATCAAGGGAAGTAATAGTGCCACTGTATTCTGCTCTGGTCAGACCTCACCTGGAGTACTGTGTCCAGTTCTGGGCACCACAGTTCAAGAAGGACACTGACAAACTGGAACGTGTCCAGAGGAGGGCAACCAAAATGGTCAAAGGCCTGGAAACGATGCCTTATGAGGAACGGCTAAGGGAGCTGGGCATGTTTAGCCTGGAGAAGAGGAGGTTAAGGGGTGATATGATAGCCATGTTCAAATATATAAAAGGATGTCACCTAGAGGAGGGAGAAAGGTTGTTTTCTGCTGCTCCAGAGAAGCGGACACGGAGCAATGGATCCAAACTACAAGAAAGAAGATTCCACCTAAACATTAGGAAGAACTTCCTGACAGTAAGAGCTGTTTGACAGTGGAATTTGCTGCCAAGGAGTATGGTGGAGTCTCCTTCTTTGGAGGTCTTTAAGCAGAGGCTTGACAACCATATGTCAGGAGTGCTCTGATGGTGTTTCCTGCTTGGCAGGGGGTTGGACTCGATGGCCCTTGTGGTCTCTTCCAACTCTATGATTCTATGATTCTATGATTCTAAGTTTTTCCCCTAGAGGGAGCCTGTGAAACTGTAACCAATTTTGAATAGGGAAGCTCGCAGCTGTTACAGATTACGATCGTGGGAATAGACTTCTGACCTTGCAGGACAATGTATTCAGAAGCTCTGTTGAGTGCTTTCTGTAAAACAAGTGCCCTACTGGAACAGCTACATGAGAAGACGGATTTTATGACTGATGCAATTAGAAATTTTGGACAGGCAGTGGGATATTATATAGAGCCCACCCAGGAATTAGATCAGGATTGTGCCCTGACAGAACAGATGAGGGAAGAGGATGTTGCTGAATCTTGGGCGCCAGGGATGGAGGGAGCTGCGGCCCAGCAGGAACATGAATTCTTGGATTTGACAAATGAACTTGGAAAAAGCCAGATTTGGAAAGATAAAGTTTGGTTTGGTTTGGAAATGGGGGGTTGGATAGACTCCCCTATGCAGGGAGGTTTGGACTTTTCGAGTCTGGCAATGGGCCGTGAGATGTTTGGGGTTGTGGGGGCTCTCAGTTTTGGAGGGTCTTTGAAATATGTTCTTAAATACCACATGGAGCTTAGTGGGGACTATGGAAAAGGGGCTGATTTGTTGAGAAGGGTCAAAAGCTTTGTCAAGCTGGAGTTCCCAAGAGTGAAAGAAGTAGGAGATAAAGGAAAATATAGCTATAAATATGAAGAAGAGCTGCGGAAGGGACATGGAAGAGACTTAAGGGCCTCGGACATAAGGTTACCAGGTTAATGCGCTAGATTGATGGGATAGAAAGGACTGACAAAACCCGGGTCCAGGAGGAAGAGACGCTGGATGAAGATTGGATTGTTATTTCTTTTATTATGATTGTTTTATAAAATTGATGAATGTTAGAAAAATGTTGGAACGAAATTATTTGGCTTTAGCAAAAATGTTTAAAGAATTATGTAAGAATATTATGGTTATGAGAAATTGGTAAAAATAAGATTTAAGTTTTAAGTTTTAAGGTTTTCATAGTAAGATAAGATTAAAATAGATTAAGGTAAAGTAATGACAGAATATTATGAAATATGGAAAGGATTTGCTGTGACAATTAATAATCAGGATACAAAAAAAGGGAGGAGGAGGAGGTCAAAGAAAGAAGGTAATGACAGTTAAAGATATGAGAATATTGGATTTGTTTTTAAATATTTGTGGTATATTTTTGTTTTTTAATTGTGTCGTGTTATTTTTTGATTTTGATTTTTATTAATCTGTATTGTTTGACTGTGGTTTGTCTTTTCTTTGTCTTTTCTTTCTTTTTTTCTTTTTTTGTTCTCTTTTGTAATTTTAAAATTTTCAATAAATATCATTTAAAAACAACAACAGCAACAACACTGAGAAACCGCTATAGGCTGTTGGATTTCCTAGCTCATCCATTTATGCAATGATATTTTTTTAGAATCGTGAGATGGTGTGCTTTTTTCCTCTAATGTCTGTCTTGAAGTATAGAGGCTTGATATGAATTCAATAAGTGTCAAACTAATACTATAGATATTTTTTAGAAGAAATATGCCAAATATTTTCAGAATCTTGAAAATTAGCTTCCAGTACATTTTGTAGCAGAGGATAATGGAAGTTTAAAATGATGGATTGCAAAGAAAGATAGCACCCAAGTTTGCAATTACCCAGTTTGGAATATGAATTTTTCCTACTCATAATGCTCTGGTGTATTATGAATTGAGCATCGCTTCTCCCAGATATCCAAGTTCTACACCACAGGAGTGCAAATATTGAGAGATGTGTTATGTATTAAACTAGCATGTCTTGCCTTAGTGTGAGATCTGGAACCATGTGCTGGATTTTCTTGTCGTTCCACCCATTCCCTTCATCACCCTGTGCATTCTCCAAGCAAGAGCTCTTAAGAGATTTTTTTTTACAATTAAACAGTGTACAAATTCTGTTAACAGGCATAGCAGTTGTTTAAAATTCCCTTGAGTCGTCAGTCATTTTAATGATTGTTCTGTTCTGCTTGTAACAATTTTTATGATTTTGTATTTTTGTACCCCACCCTGATATCTTTATGAGAGGGCAGTATATAATAATTTGTATAAATAAAATAAAATCAATAATTGGTTTTATTATAGCCACCAGTGATCCTGCTGGGATAGCTCAGGTGGTAGAGCATCAGACTTTTAATTTCAGGGTCGTGTGTTTGAGCCCCACATTGGGAAAAATCAGTATCTGTTTTGCATGGAGGAGGTACGAGGTTTAATCCCTCATGTCTCCAGATAAGAATATTAGAACATAACAAGAGTTTGCTGGATCAGACCAATGGTCCAACCTCCTGTTCTCCCACTGAGCTAAGCCCTTCCCCAAAGAGGATGCAATGAAGGATGTCCATACTATTTCCAATGCTATACCAAGAGTAGCCAGTGCTGCAAAAGCAGGAGTTTGGCTCAGACCTGCACATACGTGCACTATTTATGATACTTCACGTCAAGCAGGAAAAACCTTTGGACATGTATAACAAGAAAGAAGGGGAAACAATAATGGCAATAGATCTGGTTGCATGTTTCAATCCTTTCTGACAAGATGTCAATCATATTTTTCCTCAGCTTGAGTTTTGTGTGTTTTAAAAGTCATTTCCAGTTCCCTGGAAGCAAAATTGGAAACACTGTAAAACCTGTCAAGTCACTGCAAGCAGAAAGGATTCACTCACAAGGCCGGATGCACACGAACCCCTTATGTGGAAATAATACAAGCTTGTTCCTGATTGCGGTAACAATCTATGCAAGGTCACATGGACAAGTCTGCATCTAACTTGACTGGAGCTGTAGTGGCACTGTTGAAATCCAGCACCTCCAGTAAATTCAGAGGTACACAGTTGAAATTTGTTATTTTACTTTAAAGCAGGAGTGGGGAGCCTGTGGTCTGCTACTCCAATTGTGCCTGACCATCAGCTTTGCTGTCTAGGTTGATGGCAGGTGGAGTCCAACAGTTTGGACTGCTGCAGGTCCCCCATTCCTGCTGTAAGTTCTTATTGCCACTGAAGATCCAGCACAGGTTGTTGTTGTTTAGTCGTTTAGTCGTGTCCGACTCTTTGTGACCCCATGGATCAGAGCACGCTAGGCACTCCTGTCCTCCACTGCCTCCCGCAGTTTGGTCAAACTCATGCTGGTAGCTTCGAGAAGATGTCCAACCATCTTGTCCTCTGTTGTCCCCTTCTGCTTGTGCCCTCAATCTTTCCCAACATCAGGGTCTTTTCCAGGGAGTCTTCTCTTCTCATGAGGTGGCCAAAGTATTGGAGCCTCAGCTTCAGGATCTGTCCTTCCAGTGAGCACTCAGGGCTGATTTCCTTCAGAATGGATAGGTTTGATCTTCTTGTAGTCCATGGGACTCTCAAGAGTCTCCTCCAGCACCATAATTCAAAAGCATCAATTCTTTGGTGATCAGCCTTCTTTATGGTCCAGCTCTCACTTCCATACATCACTACTGGGAAAACCATAGCTTTAACTATACGAACCGTCCAGCACAGGTATTACGGTAAATAAATGTGCACACCCACCCACCCTCAATTCTTCTAAGCCTGATCGCCAAGTCGAACATGATTTAAGGCTGTATTTTGGGTACAGGTGTAAATTCACCAAAGCAGATACAGAACTCTAATTTGCTTTGAACTTCACTTCAGATCAAATCTAGGCAGCATTCACACCATACATTTGAAGTGGTGTGATACCACTTTAAACAGTCATGGCTTTCTCCTCAAAGAATTCTGGGAGCTGTTGTTTGTTAAGGGTGCTGAAAGCTGTCATGTGCCCCCTAGTCCTTTCACAGAGCTACAATTTCTAGAGTTCCCTGCGAAGAGAAATTGATTGTACTGTAGCTGTGGGAAGGGGAGGAGTCTCTTAAAAACTCAGCATCCATAACAAACTAGTGATAACCCAGCGAAGGACAAACAATGTCCCATCTCCATCTCTTTGTCGGAGCACAAATGGCGAAGTTTAGCATAAAATTATGACACAGAGAGCCAGCAATATTTTCATGATGGTAGGAGCAGCTCCCTTCGGACTTTTCACTCCTCCGGTCACTTTTTAATTCCTTTGTTCCTCTCTCCAGCCGCATGGCTGTTTGCCAGTGTCTCACGTTACCTCATCCGGTCAAGGCTTTAACCCACCCACAAACCATATAAGGTTATACATTCCAATACATTGTAAAGCTCAGAGTGCTGGTCAGCCGAGGTCAGGGGGCACCCTGCAATAGTCACAAGCCTTCGCCGTGGCTTTATGACTCCCACATGCCCTCTTTCTTTACTTTATTAATCAGAGTCATATAAGTCAGTACCACTACGGTTATATCGAGCGCGATAAGCGACTCTTGTGACACCGGAAGCGGGCCGCGGACTGGAGAACCATGCAGTACATATAGAAATTAAAGAAGGAATACATTGGATACAGCAACATAAAATAACACAAATAACTACTATAATGATCACTAAAATCAATATATGTCGAAGCCAACTTCCATCCGGAAGCCAAGAATATAACCATGCCCATGGATCAACGGAAGGCGGAGGAGCAAACGGATTGTGAGCTACCATGGTTTCCATATGATCAATCGTCGCAGATATGCTGACATTATTATCAGGAATAAACATACAACAATGAGAATGAACAAGTGCACAAACTCCTCCTTTTGAGGCTAAAATCACATCCAAGGTATAACGATTCTGTAAAACCACCGCTCTCATTGCAGACACCTCCTGGTTGAGATTCTTCAAAGCCTTTATGGTATCATTGAATAATCCTTCAGTCCAATTCGCTAGCCGATGGAGGTCCCTATAGTTCATTGCTGCGCCCACTGAGGGCAGCAAGGCTCGAGAGATCTGGGTACCGATATATTGGTTTAAGGGCGAATTAACCTCCCGACGATTTCGTAGTCTAAGAGAAGATGGTAACTTATCAACCTTATACAACAATGGAACCACGAGACCCAATGTACATGTGCCTGTGAGGTTTCGAGGAATGGCTTTGTATGCTTTTTCGCCACAAAGCAACCATAACTCTCTTTGGAGTAAATAGCTGATATTACTACTCTGTTGGGACCAATAAAAGGCTGCAGTAAATAAGGAACTGATATGAAATTGCTCATCTGTGGCATTTGCTAAGCCAGGGATAGAAGAATTCAGACTCCAATTTGCATGGTAGGATTCTTTCCTAGTTTTTAGCCATGCACTGGTATCACTTCTATAGCACTGAGATTGGTCACTGTATATTCCTGAAAGAGAACAAGAGCTATTAAAAGTGAAATTCAATGTATATTGACAGTTTGGATATATGCCCCATGATTCTTTCCCCTCTTTAATTTGAAAACAAATGGGGGCAGGCTCATGGAGGGTCAATTGTACATGGTGTGCAAATACGTAATCTTAATGTTGGGTTGTCATGGACAGCTATAACTTGCAAGAATATGCATTGTAGATGAAGCATTGGATTGAAACTAAAATAATTACCCTTTTAACGCCACAAATATTTGTGCTAGAGCATTTCATTATCAATTTGACTAATTATAATTGATAGTAATTTATCTTTGCCCTCATGAAAAGCTGTTAGCTAGATAGATACCTTTTTAAAACTAACACATCTTTCTAGAATGATGCAGATATTACTCACAGTATTTCCTGTTACATTAGTTTTGAAGCAAAACTGAAACAACTGGATGAAGTGTCCAAGTTTAGCAAGGGCTGCCTTCTTTTGCAGGCAATTGGATGTGTATGCTGTCTTTATGCTGAGGTAGGCAATTTTTCCATTTGACCAGTATTCACTTGTCACATTTATACGATTGGGAGCCGCCCAGAGTGGCTAGGGAAACCCAGCCTGATGGGCGGGATATAAATAATAAATTATTATTATTATTATTATTATTATTATTATTATTCCCCACCCTTTCTCCAAGGATTTCAGGGTAGCAGCATGCAATGCGCATTACTTTACACTGTAAAGTAGATTAAGCTAACAATATGCAACTAAGCCAAGAGCAACCATTGAGCTTTATAGTGACTGAAGATCTGAACTCAGATTCCCCCAATTCCAGACCAACACTTCAATGCAGTGGTACCTCGGTTTAAGAACAGTCCTGTTTACGAATGATTTGGTTTATGAACTCCGCAAAACTGGAAGTAGTGTTCCAGTTTGTGACCTTTACCTCCGTCTACAACCGAAAAGGTGGAAGGGCACCAGCGGCAGGAGGCCTCATTAGGGAAAGCGCGTCTCGGTTTAAGAATGGATTCGGTTTAAGAATGGACTTCAGGAACGGATTCAGTTATTAAACTGAGGTACCACTGTACATTAAGTTACCTTGGTTACTCTGACAGGCAGTAACTCTTGGATGTCCTAGGCAACTGTTTTTCCTAGTCCTGAAACCTGGAAAAATCTGCATTTCAAAACATGAGGGGAGTTTCCATGGGTACAGAGGGCTCCCCACAGCAGACAGTTTCCCTCAATGAATTGGAAGATGATGGAAATGGGACGGGAGTGTGTGGTGGCAGCCAGGATAGCTATGTTTCCCCTCTACTGTCAGAAGCAGTATGCATTTGAACACCAAGGGAAAGTGCTGTTGCACTCATGTCCTCCTTGTGGACTTCTCATAGGCAAATGTTTGGCCACTTAGATAACAGAATGTTGGAGGTTTTTAAGCATAGGTTAGATGACCAGCTTCCTGCATTTCAGGGGGTTGGGCTAGATGACCCTTGGGGTCCTTTCCAACTCTACAATTCTATGTTCAGCTTGGTCTTTGACAGGATCTAGTAGGCTCTTCTTATGTTCTTATGGGGTTGTGTGCACCACCACTGTCCAACCTCATCTGCTCGCAGCTCCATTTGAATAACTCCTGAAGACAGCTTTGTTGGTGACTTTTTTACACGTGTAAATTCCACCCTAGTATTAGACTTTATTCAGGATTGGTGGCCATGGAAAGAGGTATGGTATTCACATTTGATTTCCAAATACTCAGAGCAATCTTCCAGCCCCTTTCAGCAGGTGTTCAGATTTATCCATGTATTAACGTTTTACCTAATATGATAAAACACCCAGGACGCTATATCTCATTTTCAAAATGTCATTGAAGGGGGGAAAGTGGAAAGAAATGCAGCTACATTATATTTGTAGGCCACTACCATAAAACACCTGCCAATAAAGCCAGATGAGCCATATTATGCACAGGGTTTTAAATATTT